TCGTTTCTCCATTCCACAGAACTGACATGCCAATTGGTTGAAGTAGCAGTAGCAGAAGAAGTAGTAGAAGCAGAAGTAGAAGTCCAAGTAGATGTAGTCAGTAGTCGTCGTCGTAGTAGTAGTAGTAGTCGTCGTCGTCGTCGTAGTAGTAGTAGTAGTAGTAGTACTAGTAGTACTAGTAGTAGTCCGAAGTAGCATTAGTACTAGCAGTAGTAGGAGCAGCACCAGCAGCAGCAGCAGCAGCAGTGGCAGCAGCAGCAGCAGCAGCAGCAGCAGCAGCAATAGTAAGTAGTCGTCGTCCGCAGTGGCAGTGGCAGTGTTGGTGTGGGGGTAGTGGTAGCAGGAGTACCGCGAGTAGGAGGAGCGGAAGGAGTAGGAGGAGTAGCAATAGCAGCAATAGCCGCATACAGTAGTAGCAATAGTAGCAGTAGCAGCAGTAGCAAAAGTAGGGTAGTACGAGTAGTCGCAGCAGCGGTAGTACCAGTAGTCGCTGTCGCAGCAGCAGCAGCAGCAGCAGCGGAGGCAGCAGCAGCAGCAGCAGCAGCAGCAGCAGCAGCAATAGTAGTCGTTGTCGTCGTCGTCGCCGTGGTAGTGCTAATGGTAGTGGTAGCGGCAGTGGCAGCGGCAGCAGCTGCAGTTGCAGCAGCAGCCGGAGCAGGAAGGAGCAGCGGCAGCTGGAGCAGCTGCAGGAACAGCAAGAGCAGCAATAGCAGCTATACTGAGAACGACCACGGTAATCATAATGCTAGTGGAAGTAGTAGAGGCTGCGAGTAGCTGGTAGTGGCAGGAATGCTCAGCAGTATTAGTTCAGTCACACTTAATGGAATTGCATCGATGCTCCTACCCATAACCCACTAGGCCCAGGCAGCAAGGGTACTTCCAGATAGCAACCAGATGGAAGACTCTTCGACTTTTTCATCAGTTTTAGGAGGTGCCCCATGGAACCAGGGAGCCCAACAGCACGCCTGTGGCATGTGCAAGTCTTGTCCAATGCCTTAGCTCATTCGGTCTGTCTGTCATGCGTGCACCGCGCACGGACAGCAGGTGGCCGATCTTAGGTCCTTTCAAGTGGGACCTCCAACCTAAACCGGATGTTGGAGACACCGCAACAACACCTACACTATGACTACAGTGACTACAGGTAGACATCGGAACTGACCGTTCGCCAGCTCGACATGCGAGTTCTTTCCCAGATTGGATCATCACCCTCGTTGATTGAGCCATGAGCTTAGCCACCCAAGTAGCTGGAGGTACCAAGGACAATCTCAACGCAGCCCGTAGGGCCTTCTGCGTTGTGGGGGCAGTCCTGGCCGGAGCTCTCAGAGGGAGTCGGGAGAGCGCTTCCCTGCGGCTTCTTTTGCGGGCTCCGTTCCGTCGCTGTTGCCGGTGCAGGTGGTGACAGCCACTTGCATTCGTTAGGAGGTTCTTGGCTCAGCACTTGGGTGAAGGCATGGGCCCGATCTATCGGTGTCCCTCAGAGATTATGTGGCGGGCGAGATGGCATTCCCTCTAAAGTCGACAGGCCCATGCAAGACTGCAAAGACGCTGTAGGGCAGAGGTGTAGTAGCTTGCTATGGTGGTACCTATTTTACTTCTCCTGACCGGCGCAATCCCGGAACTCTCCAAATACATCAGCCCTGCCCATCGGGCAGTTCCACACATGAACTACACCAGCCATGGCTCAGCATTCTCCCAGATTTAGCTGATGCATGATGCCTGCGGCATTCCAAATCGTACTTGGCTGTGGCATCCGGCTGAGAGCAGTCGGTTTTTCTGAGGCGCGACTTGGAACCATTGTACACCGTTCAAATTCTGCGTTCGGCTTCGGTTGCGCGTCAGGAGTCGAACACTGATGTAGCCTGCCTGTGGGAAGATGTTATGTTCGGCATCATCCGGAAAGAAATTCTAGGAGTGCAAAACGGTTCAGTTGCCAAATTCAATGCCGCAAGTATCGGACATCTAGGACTGTGCGGCGGATGCCACAAAATTTAGGCAGACATGTTGCGAGCTGTAGGATGAACTCGCAACGGCCCTGGAGAGTGCTGGCATTGCAGCAACCTGATAGGTTGACGAGCCAAAAAGTAAACAAGTACTACTGCAAAGTTACAGTCTTCTGCTTCTTCTTATTGTTGCTGTTGTGGCTGTTGTTTGTTGTCGTGGGTTGCAGTAGGTTGTCGTTGGTTGTCGTCGGTTTGTTGGTGTGGTTGTTGCGGTTGTTATGGTGGTCGTGGTCGTGGTTGTGGTTGTGGTCGTGGTGGTGGTTGTTCGTGTTGGTGTTGGTGTTGTTGTTGTTGTTGTGGTGGTGGTTGTGCTGCTGCTGCTGCTGCTGCTGCTGCTGCTGCTGCTGCTTTGTGCTGCTGCTGGTGGCGGTGGTGGTGGTGGTGCTGGTGGTGGTGGTGGTGGTGGTGGTGTTGGTGGTAGTGGCGGTGGTGGTGGTGGTGGTCATAATCGTGGTTGTTGTTATAAACGTGGTTGTGATCATAATCGTGGTCGTGGTCCAGGTCGTTGTTGTTGTTGTTGTTGCTGCTGCTGCTGCTGCTGCTGTTCTTGCTGTTGCTTGTGGTGTTGCTGTTATTGTTGTTTTTGTTGCTGTTGCTCTTGCTTCTGTTGCCTTTGCACTGCTGCTACTGTTGCTGTTGCTGTTGCTGTTGTGTTGCTGTTGCTCTTGCGTTGCTGTTGCTTTTGCTGTTGCCGTTGCTGTTGCTGTTGTGTTGCTGTTGCTGTTGTGTTGCTGTTGCTGTTGCTGCTGTTTTGCTGTTGATGTTGCTGTTGCTTTTGCGTTGCTGGTGCTGTTGCTGCTGCTGATGTTGTTGCCGCTGTTGCTCTTGTGTTGCTGCTGCCACTGCTGCTGTTGCTGTTGCTGCTGCTGCTGCTTCTGCAATGATTGTTGTCGTTGTTGCGGTTGGAGTTGCAGTTGCGGCGCTTCGTTGCTGTTGCTGTTGCCGGTGCCATGCTGTTGCTGTTGTGGTTGTGGCTGTAGATATGGTTGTGGTTGTGCGTTGTTATTGGTTGTTGCTCTCTGACTAGTTTACCTTTCAGACCACGATTGCAAGATTGCTGGTAATCTTGTTCCCCCCACCCATCCAAGTGGGGCAAGCGGGACATAGCGGGACAAGTGGGGAAGATTGCAAGATTGCTTGGCAATGCTGCTCAAACAAGTCTTCTAAGTTCCCGCCACAATATCCTTTGCCGCAAGCACTTAAATGGAATTAGCAGTTGTATAATTAGTATCATAGATTTGACCATAGTTAGGTTTAAGTAAAAGTTTCCAGTACTTGCATTTTTGTTAGTATGATAAGTACCAGTCCCAGTCGGAGTAGTCGTTGTCGCCGCCGTGGTCGTCGTCCTTGTCGTCGTCGTAGTGGTAGTGGTACTGCATGGGAGCAGCAGAAAACAAGCAACAGCAGCTGAACAAGAAGCAGAAGAAGCAGAACCAAACACAGAAGGAGCAGCAGAAGCAGCAGATGCAGATGCAGATGCAGATGAAGATGAGGAACACAATGATGATGCATATGATGGAGTTGCAATAGTCGCTCTAGCACTAGTACTCGGTCTGGCACTGGCGCTGCACAGTGAATAGCGCGATTGGATAGAGCCTCTGCAGCATTAAGTGCACGCCATGTTTGACAAAAGTTGCCTAACAAGGATTCATTTGGAATGTTTCCCGTTCGACAATCCATTGTGCAATGCCTCTGCACCACACTCTACGAGCAGCGTAGTTTGGTGATCGCGGCCCGGCACTCTGTGCTTATGCTGTAACCAGATGCGCGTTGCTTCCTCCGATGGTCCTCCCACCAAAACGCGTAGTCGTTTAGACATCAGATAAACTGTTCCTGGCTGCCTGCCTAGCTTGGGCCAAGGTGTCTCTCTTGTGAGGTTGCGCTGCAGTTAGCAAAACTCAGGGCTTAATGTTCTGGTTCGAGGAAGGGATGTCCGAGTGCAGCTCAAGTGGGTGTCGTTAAATGGCCACCCTGTGCTACTATGCCCTGATATCCAGTGTTGCCGCGCGTTAAAGCTTCTAGTTGCAGCAACTCACAGAGGCTTTGGAGGAGCACCGTGCCCCTGTTAAGTAGAATTTCTGTTCAATGCCTTAGCTCCGTGGGCTCACCCGCAGCCAGCTGGTCAGACAGACCGGCAAGCTCCTAGAGCCACAGCAAAGCATTGCGGCTCCAGTAATGGTCCTTCGAACTGGAACCGGGATGCGAAGATGTTGAGGACACCACGTGGACCCCGAAGCAGTACAGGACAGTGTGATCGAGGAGCATCAGGCTATCCTAGAGGAATTGCAGAGCTGTCACTTCTCGTTCTTCGATTGGGGTCCATGATTCCACATGGGGAACCCATGTCAACCCAACCCAGAGCCCTGGTCAGAATCGCCGCTCCTCCAATGAACCCCGAATGCCCGGCACTCAGTCTTGAAGAAAGATTGCAGTCTCTGCGCAACCGATGACGGTCCACAGCAACCTGCTTGCCGAGGCCCTGTTTGAGCGATGAGCCCACCCAGCGTCGGTGGAAATAGGAAGCTCCTCCTCAGAAGGAAAAAGCACCCGTGTTGTGGTAGAGAGGCAGACCCTCTCCAGGAGAAGTCTGAGAAGGGTTCAGTACGAATGTAAAGAGTTTCTGCAAATTATCCTTCCTTGCACTGATCTGCTCATAGCCCTCATTGTCCCCTTTGGATCGTTTATGCACAGTCACCACCCAACCGAGTCCTCATGATAACCGAGTCTTCATGATGATCATGGCGCTTGACCGCCTGGGGCGTCCGAAGCGCGAGCTTTGGCTCACAGCGAGTGTGACTCAGGTCCGAAACCTTTGGACCCCAAGGCGCAGACCCTGAAACCTTCATGCCTTGGTTGCAGGATACAGGCTTGAGCCAGTTCCATACTAGAGCTTCCTTGCATCCCACACTGTGCTGCTTGAAAGGCAAGGCAGGCCATCTCTAGCATTAGCAATAAATTGTAGGAGTCGCTTGCAGCGGCTTCAGGAAATCACAGGAGACGATGGCAAGCTTTGGGCCTTTGCGGCGTCCAGCCTGGAAGACCGCGAGGCCGTCCAAGCGTGGTCGTCGGGCTGGTCACATGAATAGAGTAACATAGTACTAGTAAGTATAAGAATACGAATTCGAGTATAAGATCGATAACTATCATCTTAACAGCAATGCTTAAAACAAAACACGTAAAGGATAGTAATAAGAGTAATAATAATAATAATAAGAAGAATATTAAGCGATCCCCAGGAGACGATTGTGCGAGGGCCCCAGCACCCATCCTGTCGCCAGGCGGTGGTTGGGAGATGGGGTGCGAGGTCCTCGCTTCACTGACGTCGAAGGGCATTTGCAGAAGGCTAAGGACGCAAGATCCGCAGAGCCGCTTGATGCACCCATGAACCTCTTCCACGCGAGGAGTTCTTTACGAAGCCGGCCCTTTCTTACCCGGAGTACAAGCAGCAGTGTGAGCCTGCACCCTGGAAAGCGCCGCTGTGTCTTCGGGGAATTGGAGGTAAAGAGTGATGGTCGTCAGATTCAGTCGTGCACATGTCTGGGGCCGTGTGCGAGCATGTACATGTGGTGTGAAGAACGCCTTTTCGACCTAGAGCCACTGGAGAGCCATGATTTTGGAAAACCGTAAACTCTAAACCGTTTCGGAGGTCGCTTCGTCTTTTTGCCTTTGGTGGTGTCTGCGGCGGCTGTGTTCGGATCTCAGAACTTGCGCAGAATCGGAGCGGGGCACATTTCTGGAGACGCATGAAGGGAAAAAAGGGGTGGACAATGAGTTGGAGCCTTCGTTTAGACAACGGTGACCTTCAGATCAAATTCTGGCTTGTGCTTGTGTGCATTTGCGGCCGCGCCCCTTTGCAGCATCGATGCTCTCCTGAGGTCTTGTCGCTGTTTCTGTTTCCACCGCCACCTGGCTGCAGTGCCACGATTACTAGTGCTAGCAGCTACTCGCATTCGCTGTAGCGCTGGCGGCTAGCAGCTAGCAGTATAGTAGCATTAGCAGTAGCACTAGCTCTCTCAGGATTGTGTTGGGCTTCATAAGGATCGATGAGTGTCAGCCACAGCAACAACAACAACTACTACTACTACTACTACTACTACGTGCTACTGTACTGCTGCTGCTAGTATGACTGCTACTGGTATTGCGGTTGCCGCGAAGCCCAGGAAGTCTTCCTACTGGGCGACCTGGAGTCCCTGGCAGTGGGCGCAGTACGCCGCACGGCCGATTCTGGCCTCTGCTTCCGATATCGATCCTGGGTTTAGGCTTTGGGGTGTAGGGTTTAGGGGTCGGACTTCGGGGGAAAGGTGGTACCGTAGACGTTGACGGGCCTGAAGCCTCAAACCTAATGATCTGTTCCTATCCCCACCACCAGGAATGCCACGATTAAGGCGAGGTGGGCCCAGACCCAGACCCCAAAACATTGCAGCCCAAGCCGCCGAACAAAAAACCTCACTTCCCAACCGCTGCAACCATCAAGAGTATAGGGTACTGTAGTATAGTAGGATCTAGTACCGCATAGAATAGTAAAGTCTCCCTAAACCCTAAACCCTAAACCCTGTGTTTAGTATATACCCCCCTGAGTCCCGCTTCGAAGTGCAGGGAAGACCCAAGGCCCCGAGCGAAGCAACGCCGAAGAGTTTGGGCCTTTTGGTGCTTTCGGGTAGTGGGAAGTCGGGGTTTGGGTTTTTTGGGGGTTTAGGGTCTAGGGTGTTGGGGGAATCGGGATTTGGGGTTTAGGAATTCTTAGAGGTTCGGTGTGCGGGAAGGAGGTAGCAGAAGAGGCAGAGCAGTGTCACAATAGTGCATGTAACATAAAGAGCCAGAAGCCGACCTTTCGCGTGGTAGAAAAGTGAGTGCAGCCATCGAAGAGCTCAGCAGCATGTTCAAGCTCCTGCAGACGAGGTTGGGAGTTGCTTCAAAACTGCACCGGCTCTTTTTGCCGCAGAGAAGATTGAGACAGTGAGCTACCAGTCCATACTGTACCCGCAGAGGCCCAGGGAGAAGGGATGGGAGTGATGCGGTTTCTGAGGTGTTCCTTGAATTGAGGGGAGGGTGGAGGGTTCGCACGGGCTTCCAAAGGCAGAGAACTGAGAGCTGTGCAGGTATGCATAGTCTATACTAGACGCCTGCAACTGCATACATACACACATACATGCGTACATACATACATACAGACATACATACATACAGACATGCAGACAGACATACATAGATACATATGTACATACATAAGCACATCTGTAGATGTAAATTCATACTTACATAGACAGACCGGCATAGATGCATACATGAGGACTGCGTGGACACCAATGTGTGTATGTCATACACATGTAGAGAAGCGCATTTTTTCTCTTCTCTTCAGTGCACGTGCTGAATTCATTCATGATTTTGTTGACGCATGCCCGCAGTGGGACGCACAGGCACTCTAGCCAAGCAGTCAACCAACTTCGCAAGCAAGCAACCTGCTAATCGATCAAACATTACCTCAAGGAGCCAAGCAACAAGAAGCAGGCGAGCACAGATCTCACACACTCCCAAACAGCAGCATGCACGCACACACACACACAGAACCAACATAAGTAATCAGGTCTATCTGCTTTTCGCCCATCTTTGCTTGCATCCCTCCATCCATCATACAGTAATCTGTTTGTAGTTGACGCCTTGCATGCCTCGTCTGAAAAGGTGCTTGTCTACTAGTGAAACACTAAAATGAAACAAACCCTGCCAACCGCAATTGGCCAGGAAGGTCAGCGCGACCGTGCCACCGGCCACGTGGACTCAAGGATAAGATTGATGGGACAAGAAGGGCTGGGAATACTTGGTCCTGGTGGAACTTCGCAAGCAGTGTTTTGGCAGAGGTGCGGTGATGTAAATTTGGTCCTACCTGATCTAGTTGCCAGATGCTTAACACTACCTGAATCCTGCCGAGAATACCAAAGAGTTCATGCCTTGCGCCCTTGGAACCGCACGCCTGAACTTGCAAGGATGAAGACTGCCAGAGACCCTGTAATATAGGGGCCTTAGGAGATAGAATAGGGTTCCCTTAACTGGCTACGATAAGCGTCACTATGGGGATTTGGAGTAGGTGATCCAATAGTTAGAATGGGGTGTTGGGGTATCTTGTGTTGAGGTATATTGTATATTGCAGTCAAATCTTGTAGGGACGACAAGGGGAGAATATTACCAATGATTCCAGCCACTAAATTGACCAACATCGCAGGGCACTTTGTGAGCGTATGCCGAGGTTTCTACATTGTTCACATAGATGTCTTAATTCACATTGCTCTTTTTCGCTTGTTGTCATCTTACAGACTCAAGCAACCAGCAGTAGAGGTGGTGGTAGTAGTAGTAGTAGTAGGAGGTAGGGAGGTAGTAAGGAGTAGGAGTAGGTAGTAGGAGTAGCGGTAGCGGTAGCTATAGCTGTAGCTGTAGCTGTAGCAGTAGCAGTAGCAGTAGCAGGAGGAGGAGTAGTAATAGTCGTCGTCGTCGTGGTGGTGGTGGTGGTGGTAGCAGTCGGAGCAGCAGTAGTAGCAGGTCTGACGTGATTTTTATATCTGCCAGCTCAGGCGTCGACGGTGCAAAGCTCGCCGTCGAAGCCTGTAGCCCCTCCGAAGCCACGGGCACCTTGGAAAGCAATGTCAAAACGAATCTGAATCTGATAATTCCTGCTACGGGTGCCCAAAACGAAACAGTGCAGCCATGACCTCCTAAATCTCAATATTTCCCTGTTCTCTTCGCCTGTTGTTCGATGATTGCCATGGTGCCGCGCTGCTGACACTGATGCTGATCTTGCAGCTGAAAGTCATGATTAAGGGCAATGGTAGTGATGATGACGGTGCTGACGATGGTTCAGGAGACTATAACCGTCATGGCAGTTACGATTCGCCCTGGTTCAGCTCGGGGCTTTCGTGCAGTATGGGAACAAAGCAGCTGATGAAAGAGGTGATTCAGGGTTGAGGGATGTGGGTTATCGGTACGATTCCTTATCGGCTACCCTGAGCTGCGATTCAGCCCTCGGCAGTAGCGGCAAAGTGATGTTTGTCAGCATACGCTGCCAAATGTCGCAAGGCTGCGTGAGATTGCAGGCTTCATGTGACGCGCTGAGAAAGACTACCACGTTGGGTTAAGATACGAGACTTGCCACTTGCTTTTCCGCATTTCTGAAATCGCCTTCTACGATCATGGAGGTAGAAGCGATGCTGTAGAGATATCACCCGATGATGCAGAATAGTGGGCTTCCGGCCAATCCTCACAATTTAAAAGGCACCATCTTGCTCAGACCCCTACGTTCTTCAGCTTTTCCTCAGTCTCTTTGACACCTCAGCGGCGTTGCCCTGAGGTGCTCTTCGTACTTGGGGGTCCAGGTGCCGGCAAAGGCACGCAATGCTCCCTGGCAGAACACAGCCGTTTGTGACTGCCCCAACCATGTACTGCCCTATACCCAAAAGAAGGAGTTTATCTTCGGAAGCATCTTGTTTCGTGGGATCAGGGTTTGTGCAGCGCCCTGAGCATGCAGGGTTTCCTGTTTCCAGCTTTTGGACAAGTCACAGGTTTCGGTTCGACAACTGAGCAGCAGCATAGCGTCGAATTGACATTAATGGCTTGAGGTCGATTGGGGTTGCACAGCTACAGATCATCGATAGCCGCAGGTACAAACATTTGCACTCGCTTCCCCCACTGGTCGCACATCTCGGCTGGAGATTGTCTGCGGGCGGAACGCAATGATCCGCAGTCCAAGGACATGCCTAGTCAACATCCATGATATAGTTGGGATTCTGTCTTGGAAGGATGGCTGTGGCGGCTTCTGAAGCAGATTTCACCGCAAAATATTTGCAAGCCAGGCAAGACCTGTGAGCAGAGTGGCATGACGATAGAAGCGTCGTGTGCAGTCTGTGAAGCAGCAGCAGCAACAACATTTTCAATCCCTTCCCTCTCTGCCCGAAGGCACATCAAGGGAGCCTGTCAGCCCAACGCCTCAAGCCTAAGCAGCCAGCTGCAGGATGGGGAGCTCATCAACTCCTACCTCAAGGATGGCAGCTGAAATCTCATGGACTCGGTGCCGGAAGCTCACATGCCGCGACTCCACAAAACTCTCTGGCAATCCCTGCCCCAGTTGGCTGCAGTCACTGCTGAGCCGCAGAAACCTGAGCTGGGAGTCGTTGTACTTGCAACGAAGCAGAAGCCCTGCAGGAGGGCAAAATCGTGCCGGTGGAGATCACTGTGCGGCTGCTAGAGAAGGCACAGCGCTTCCATAGATAGTCCCGCGAGGTACAAGTATGGGCGTAAAGTAATGTTTGACAAGTGGTGAATGAGGCCTTCTCAAAGCGGTTCGTGTGAGGTAGCTTACATGCAGGTAAAACAGGCTCGACTGAGCGAGGCTTAGTTGTTTGTGTGCTTGTGGCAAAATCTGGCTTCTACCCTTGGCATGTGTAGATGAGTGTGCATACATCTATACAAGCACGTGTGCCCACAGATCAACAGCAAAACACACACACACACGCATATATATATAACTAACCCACACGCAGGCAAGCACATGTTTTGGGCATAGAGTAGTGGTCGTGAGCAGTATGCAGAAGTCGGAAAAACAGTTTCAGACACATGCACAAGTGCAACATGCTGGCTCTGACTTGAGCCAAGTATATCTGTATTGGCAATGGCTTTGCTTTGCGAAGGTCGGATATTGGCAAAAGAGACTGTGTTGACAGGGCTCCCAACGGCCAAAGCAGTTGGCTTGTCCACGTGCTTATGTTTGATATGCTTCCTGTGCTCTTTCTTCACCTGAGCGGTTTTCGGAGTCGGGGTATGAGTGAGAGTGCAGGGTGCTGTCGCAGAGTCGTCCAGAGCAGAGGGAAAGCTGGCGACATATCGCACTTTGTTCGCACAGGCCATGCAGAAAGACATGGCGCAGGGCAAGACGGACTTCCTCATAGATGGCTTCCCGAGGAACCTGGATAATGTAGCCCGTCCGAAGCTTTGTGTTGGACTTCGATGTCTTATCTTCGGTTGCAAAGTCGATGTTATTTAGTTTCCAGACGATATGCATTCTCCAAATCTTGGTCGGTTTGGGTTGTCGATCCTCGAGATTCTTGCCAAAGGTTCCTTTCCGCTGTGTCCGGCTCGGCTCGAGCAGCCGTCATAATGCCGTGGCCTTCTTCCCCAGCAAGTAAGTAATTTCCTCTAGACAATGTGGCCTGCGTGCGGCTTGCTTAGCCAAGCGCTGTGTAGTTTTGTTTGCAAACGTCTCCGACATCGACCCCGGTAGTTTGGGCCTGCAGGTGACCGGATGGGAGCAGGTCATCGGGGACCGTGCCGACGTGCCTAGGCTTCATACAATCTCTCGGCCATAACCTTTGTGGCCATTACACCTCCCGTCCTGTCTTCCTCCGGTCGATGTTCGTTCCAGATCCTGTGCAGGCATCCAGCATGTATAAGAGAGAGAGGGAGAGAGAGAGAGAGAGAGAGTCAGCCCTTAACCTCCCTCTTCACCCTAGCCCTGGCGAAAGAAAGGGAGAGAGAGAGAGAGAGAGATGTTGTTTCCATCCTTATAATGACTGTGAGTGAAGATCCTCCTCACTCATGTGCCGTGGTCAGAGCCTCGTGATTTCGGGGTTTACAGAGTTTTCGTAGCGGGGCAGTTGGTTTCGGGAGTTTGTGTGAAACTAGCGGAGGCGAGTCGGCGAGTATGGGGGGATCCCGAGGGCTGGCAGCCGTCACCGCTCCTTACCCGATAGAGAGAGAGAGAGAGAGAGAGAGAGAGAGAGAGAGCGAGAGAGAGAAAGCTGACCCCCTATGCCCTGTGGAAGAAGAGAGAGAGAGAGAGAGAACAAAAAATAGAGAAGGAGAGAGGGGGGGCCTGAGTGCAAACCCGCTGGTTAGTTTTTGTTAGGTTTGGAGTTGGGTTTTCTGGTTTCGCTGCCCGAGGGGGTTTGCTTGCGCATCGCTTTTCTTTACCACGCAACAGTCGGGGGCGCGGACAGCGGGCTGGGGAGAAATCCCCGGCCCACAGCCCTGGCGAAAGAAAGAGGGGGCCTGTGAGAGGACGGTATCAGCTGGGCTGCTGGAAGCGCCAAGCTGTCTTTCTCACCTCTCGCAGCGTCTCTTGCTGGCCGTTGCCACTCGATAGTGGTAGTTGCCCTATCGATAGTGGCAGTAGCACTAGTGGTAGTAGCAGGCGTAGCAGCGGTAGCAGTATTAACATTAGTAGTAGCAGCAGCTACGGCAGGATCACGAGCGGGAGCAGGAGCAGGAGGAGTGGAGTCGGAGTTGGAGTGGGAGTGGGAGTGGGAGAAGGAGGAGTAGCAGCAGTAGCGGTAGCAGTAGCAGTGGCGGCAAAAGGAGCAGTAGCAGCAGGAGTACGAGTAGGAGTAAAGGTGGCGTAGTGGGAGTGGGAGTGGGAGTAGGAGTAGTAGTAGTAGTAGTAGTAGTAGTAGTAGTAGTAATAGTAGTGGTGGTAGTGGTAGT